CACACACACACACACACACACACACACACACACAAGCCGAGAAAAGGCATGGGGCACAGTGCGCAGCCTTGCACAGTAGCGCGTCTCCATGCGCTGCGCGCACGGCGCACCTCGTGCGCGCGCAGTGTCACCGCGCACATTCCGCAGGGCGCACCGCACCAGTGCGCCACAAGTATGGTTTTCCTCCAAAAAAAAAAAAAAAGGGGGCATTCCTGTTAACCATTTGCAGGTGAACTGAGTGGTCTGGCTGCAGTGTACTATGTGGGGTGGGTTGGGGGGTGTTCATATGACATGAACTAATGCTGTTGGTGGGTGATGCTACCTGAGCTCGGTGGTGAAATGTGGGGTATGTGGGTGATACTACCATGTGGGCAGGGCAATGGACCCCGCAGCCCCTTACACTACACTACTGTATTTATCTGCTTTATCACAATTCAAGCTCAGGACCTGTTCACTAACGGTTAAGGTTTTTGCTGTTCATCAATGTGAAGAACGTGTGTCGTTGTCTATTTCCTTCTGTTTTTGTTTTTCGTTTTTCCCAAGAAAAGGGTGTCTGCCTTGAGATACCATCATAGAACTGACCGGCCTCAGGTTCTTCAGAGTTACCCTACTGATCTGTTCAGATTCGAACTCAGGTCTGCTTTTCAAACGTTGATGGGTGTACCACTCCACCACATCGTCCAGGTGTCTATATATGTAATTGAATATCTCTGCTTCATCGATTCGAATACAGCTTGGGGCGTGGAACTACAAACCCTCAACCCCACACAACCAAAAAAATAAAAAGACAGCAGCCCTGGCCCGAAAGGACAAAGAAGAAAACAAAGCGGCCGTGGGCCCAAGCACTTTCCTGGGTCTCAAGACGCAGCATCACATGAGAGTCTGATGAGACCGTTCAAGAAGTTTTAAGCTATATAAGTTACACGGAGATGAAAACATTGAGAGGTCCAGTCAGTGTGGAAATCTGGAAGGGTGTGTCTTTGTGTTGCCAAACGATCACCAGCATTTTTTTTTGGGAATGTGCCTGTATGTGCGCGCGCGCGCGCGCGCGTGCGTGTGTGTGTGTGTGTGTGTGTGTGTGTGTGTGTGTGTGTGTGTGTGTGTGAGAGAGAGAGAGAGAGAGAGCGAGAGAGCGCTGGAGTGCAGATGCTTTGTAACAAGTTGGGTGGTGTCCTGTACTGTATGCAACAGCGGCCGTAGATGGGTATTTGGACGCTGTTTTGGATGCAAGTGCGAAGGGAGAGATTCTGTTCTTTCGACCCTACATAGCTCGCTCAGAGGGTTATCCGAAAACATTGCTGATCTTGATGGTGCCGATCTACAAGACGACGAAGGTGTCGGTGAACTACCCAGATTACGCCAATGTAACACGACAGGAGCGCCTCGACGCCCTTGATGGAGTCCTTACATTGGGGTTTCAATTTGATCCCCTTCTTCGAAGAATACAGAGCGAGATTAAGGGTCTGCCAGATGCACGAATGGCAATTGCAGACATCACAGATCCCGAAAATCCTCTTCCACTGGATCTCACCAGCCTGCAGGAGTACCATGACACAAAAAAGTTCAACCGCTCACTGTTCGCGGTGAGCTCGGAGTTGGATTTGTATTCTCATTCGCGCAAGTATGAAGTCTGGTGTTTTCGCAAGAAGCCCAAATTTGTTCCAAGGCAGGAATTGATGTGGGTGTCTTTGTGCTTGGTCATCTCCTGGCTGTTGGTGTACATCCTGTGGGCCGGCGCTGTTCGCATGGAGGGCATGCGAAAGCACCTACTTCGAGTGGAGTTCCTGAACGACGAACTGAGTGCAGCGAAGGAGGCAGCAGAAGTTGCGGATCTTTCCAAGTAAGTAAAAATGAAGTCTAACAGAGTTGAATAAATGGATTATAAATTTATAAAGTAATATAAAGTTATAAACCCAATCACTAACAGCGATAGCAGATAAAAGAACGCCTACCGTCTTCACCCGAATACAACGCCCAGTCATTTTAGTCGTGTCCAGATACAGGGTGATAATGATTGGGAGGAACTGAGTGCAGCAGCAGAAGTTGTGGATCTTTCCAAGCAAGCAAAAAAAAAGTGAAACAACGCTTTTGAAAAATGGAGTATATAGTACTATAAACCTAATCACTGACAGTGGTAGCAGATAAAAGAACACCTACATCTGACTTTTAGTTAAATGAGAGATATTTTGCTTGCGCGACGAAATTAAACAAAGATTTTTTTGACCCTTTCAGATGCTTGGGTTCCGTGATTGGAGGCGGTATGCATTAACACTCAGTTGTCGACACCAAATTTGAAAAACGTACAAAAAGAGGCAAACAAATCCTTGTTCAAGTTCGTGCCGCGAGCAAAATATTTCAAATTTGAAATTTAACGAATAGTCAGTTCTACCGTCTTCACCCGAATACAACGCCTAGTCATTATAGCCGTATCTGGGGCAACTTTCAATCCAGATACAGGGCGATAATGAGTGGGAGGAACTGCGTGCAGCAGCAGAAGTTGTGGATCTTTCCAGGTAAGCAAAAAAAAAGTGTAACGAAGTTTTTTAAAAGATGGAGTATATCTCCTTCGGGACATCCGTTAAAATTGGAACGATACAGAGAAGATTAGCATGGCCCCTGCGCAAGGATGACACGCGTAAATCGAGAAATGATATAATTCTGATGAACTGCAACGCATGCAGTCAAACAGCATCCAGACAAGGTACAAGCTGTGAAGTCAACTGAAAGCATCTTGATCTTATAACAATCATGTTAACAGTGGTAGTTAACGATGATCCATGAATCTCAAAGAACGATGAGATGAGAACGCGACTCCATCTATGTCAAAAACACTTCGGGTCGTCAAAGACGACTCCCACCACCTCACCCTAGTCAGGACAACGCCTCACCGGCAAAAGAGTATAAGTCCTTCGGGACATCCATTAAAATTGGAACGATACGGAGGAGATTAGCATGACCTCTGCGAAAGGGTGACATGCATAAACCGAGAAATGGTCCAAAAAAAAAAGGAGTCTAAACTAAAGTTATTAAGTAATATAAACCTAATCACTGACAGTGGTAGCAGATAAAAGAACACCTTCCATTTTCACCCTAACACTTAATGCCCGGCCATTAGAGCTGTATTCAGGGTAGACTTTTAGTCCAGGCACAGGGCAATAACGAGCGGGCACTCCATTCGGGTGAAGACAGTTGGAGCACTGGCATGATCTTCCGACGAGCGGCTCGAACTAAAAGTGGGGAATCGGGAACCCGGTTTCTGGCTTAAAATGTTTTCCTTTGGGGAAGAAGAAAGGCCTGGCAAGTTCTTACGGAAATAGTCAACATGCTTGAGGATGTGCTTTTTTTTTTTTTGATTTATTTTCTTTTCTCTCATTTGGACGACTCGATCCGTTTCTTGATTTCTGTGTGTTGTTCTTGCACACATGCCATGCCAATCTTCTCTGCATCGTTCCAATTTTAAGGGGTGTCCCACAAGACGATGTGGGTTATGTGAGTTTTGTGTGTATCATTCCAATTTTAATTTTCAACAACTTATCACGAAGGACATCTGGGTTAATGATACCCCGCCCAATAGACTCTGAAAATTTCATAATTGCTTTAAAGTTTAAACTTTAAACTATCAAGCGAAGCAAAACGAAGAAATGCCATCCCTCGGGAGAAATTGGCCATGTGCTGAGATCCGGAAGGACACAGAGAGATTAGTGTTCCCCTGTACAAGGACGGCACACACAAATTGAGAAACAGTCAGTTCTTTTTGCCAAAAGGAACTCTTCACGGGAATGACTTTTCTTCTTCTCCTTCTTCTCCTTCTTCTTCTTTGTCATCGTTGTCATCGCCGCCGCCACCGTCTTCTTCTTCTTCTTCTTCTTCTTCTTCTTCTTGCTCTTCTTCTTCCTCTTTTTTGTTCTTCGTTTTTCACTGTGATGGGGAGCTGCACTTGCTGGAAAGAGGGTTGTATGTGGAGGGCATTTCATTGGCGTCCAAATTGTATGTGGAGGATATTACATCAGCATCCACCAGTCTTCTTCTCCTTCTTCTTCTTCTTCTTCTCCGGATCTTTGGCAAGGTTTGCCAAAGTGGTTGGGGGCCCTTGGAGATTTTTTATTTCCCAAGTGTACCCCCAGGGTCCCCCACCTTGAAGCTTGAAATTAAAAAATACGGCACCATGCATCAGGCAATACCCACATGCATACTTGCAAGCGGACGCTGTCCGGGCGGTTCCGCACGTGCGGCAGACTGCTGGACCGGACCAGCGCGGCGCACGAATGTGCGCCCGACGACCAGTTACACCCCCCCCCTCCCCCCCCAAAAAAAACAGCCCCGTCCGGTCCGGTCCGGGTCCGTCCAGTCCGGGGGGAGGGTGCCGCACGTGGCAAAGCGGACCAGACCGGACGCTCGTCGGGTCCGTCTGCTTGCAAGTATGCCCACATGGGTTGTATCATGGTTTTCTTGGGTATTTTTACTCCCTCCCGGAAGTAGGGTTTTCAATCTTCCGCTCTGTGACTGTTTTATGGGCTTGAACCCGTGATTTATTTTATTTTGTTTTTCGGAATATGGGCCATAATAAGTTTTTCCGGTTTCTGGAATAATAGAAAGTAGGATTTTGGGGCACTCGATTGAACGGCTGTCTTTTTTTGGGGCTGAGTTCCATAATTTTCGAGTGCTTCCCGTACAGTTTTGTCATACCCTCTGACGCTTGTGGAAGATTTCACACGGTACATTTTTTGGGAACTGGGCAACAGATACGCACATAGGTGGAGTGAAATCTCGTTTTTTGCCGATTGTTGTCCCGTACGGGAAAATGTTTTTTTTTTTTTTTGGCTCAAACCGTTTTTTTTCTGGGATGCTACAGTACAGCGCTGCCTCAGGGACTGTATATGTAACTGTGCTGAGTGTATTCCCTCCTCTTTGCACAAGGAACTCCGGGCGCTCGACATGCTGGTGTCTTTGCTCCTCCCGGCGCGCACGATGGACATTGGGAGATTGAGATCGGTCGGTCAGACACTAGATCAGATGACGCGAAGAAGTGATGAAGCTGTAGGGTGGATGGACGGGGAAAGGTGGTGGTGGCGAGGGAAGGTGAGGAAGAAACTTGAGGTATGAATGCATCTGTGATTTGAACGTTGATGAGGGGACATGTCCCCTCATAGTGAACGTGGGTGGATGGCCCTCCTGAAGATACTTGGTGAGCGCCCAAGTAGAAACGCGTCGACGGGATGCGCTTTTTAAAAAAAGACGGTGTAATTGATACAAGAATAGGATAACAAAAAAAAAAACAAAGTCATAGCTTCGTCCTCAGTTTGATAATCTTAAAACACCATGAGCAGCTGGGTGTTGAGGTCCGAAATTGAAAGTCAAATCTGTCTGGCACAAAGCAATGTATGATTTTTATATGTTGTCTTTGGGTCCTCTGTGGAGCAGTTGTCTGTTTGTGCTTGTAGCCTTGTACCGTTGATTTTTTATTTCTCCTTCTTCGTCCTCTTCGTCGTCATCGTCTTCGCCGCCGCCGCCGTCTCCTTCTTCTTCTTCTTCTTCTTCTTCTTCTTGCTCTTCTTCTTCCTCTTTTTTTCTTCTCCTTTTTTCGCTGTGATGGGGAGGTGCACTTGCTGGAAAGAGGGTTGCATGTGGAGGGCATTTCATTGGCGTCCAAATTGTATGTGGAGGATGTTACATCAGCATCCGCCAGTTTTTTCATTGGGCTTTCTGTCTATGGGGATTATCTATCTTTTTTTCTTTTTTTTTATAAAAGATTTAATTCCATATATCTGATTCTGTCTAGATTCGAACACAGGTCTGTATTTCGACAATTTAGGATTGTATCAACTGAGCTAGACCACTTGGTGGGATGATCTATCGTAGTTGTTTCACACATCAGGTTCTGATTCTGCAGTTATGAGTGTGTGAGGGAAGGAGTGGTTGGGAGAAGTGGGGCGAAGGCCACCGCCAGGTGTTCATATCACACATGTTACATTGCTGAACTTGCTCCTCCTCATCATCAATCCATAGTATATTATAATTGTCACTTATATATTAAGTAAAAGAGCGCACTATGCCACCTAGAAAGGATGAGCTCTTTCTAGGTGGCATAGCATTATTTGGCAGATCTGGCCTCCAGATCTGAGAGGAAAGAGAGGGACATGGCAAGCTGACAGTCAATCCTCCACCAAGGTGGAGCAATCAATGCTGTTCAGGGGTCCTTCGGCCAAACGGAAGGAAGCGTGCGTGAGTTTCAATGTAATGTATATTCGGATTTTTCGGACTTGCCGGTGGAATAGGAACCGGACTGACACTCCCCAGAATAGAAGGAGCCAGGACCATAATTTGCAAAACAAGCAAAGAAAATAGAAGACAACAACTGCACACCGGTCTATACGTAACATGTGCGATATGAGACCACCTCTCCTCTATCAAGTAAAAGAGCGCACTTTTACTCATTGGTGAAACCGTTCTCTTCTATTGACGGTTCTTTGTGTTCTCCTTGCTGTTGGTTGTGCTTTGCAGATCAAGCTTTCTGGCTACGATTTCACATGAAATACGCACACCAATGAATGGTGTGTTAGGAATGCTTAGCCTTCTCCTGGACACAGATCTCACTGGTTTGCAGATGGACTATACGGAGACGGCACTTACAAGCGGCAATATTCTCATCTCAATCATCAACGACATTTTGGACGTGTCGAAAATCGACTCCGGGCTCATGGATCTGGAATCCATACCGTTCAACCTTCACTCGCTGTTTGATGAAGTTCTCAGCATGTCCAGCGACAAAGCGAGGGAGAGAAACCTTGAATTTGCGGTGTTAATCCAAGACGCTGTGCCTGCAGTGGCCGTAGGAGATCCCAGCAGGATTCGCCAGGTAGGTTTGGTTTGGAAAAATCTGTGCAGTGACTGCAGTCTTTGTTCTCTTTTGCTTTTCTTCTTTTTCCCTTCGGAATCGTCACCTTTGATGACTTCTCTCTCTCTCTCTCTCTCTCTCTCTCTCTCTCTCTCTCTCTCTCTCTCTCTCTCTCTCTCTCTCTCTCTCTCTCTCTCTCTCTCTCTCTCCCTCTGTGTGTGTGTGTGTGTGTGTGTGTCCCTCTCGTTGCTGCTGGTCGGCACCTGGCCACACTAATTGTCCGATTCATTTGTCAGGGAGAAGCGAAAAGGAACCGCGGGGGTCGATGGCGACGAGTCGCTGATGACCACTTTGAGTAGCCGCATGACGAAAACGACCGCCGCGATGAATGAAGGAGAAGACCACCACCACGGCGAAGGAGAAGGCCACGACGACGACGAAGGAGAAGACCACCATGATGGCAAAGGAGAAGGCCGCCAAGAGCATGAAGGAGAAGACCACCACGATGGCGAAGGAGAAGATCACCGCGATGATGGAGAAGCCCAGCTCCGCTACTCACCAAATGTGCAAAATGAGAATGAATCTTCGTCTAAACCTTCGGAAGATTCATCACGCCTGGTTCGCCCCCTGCTTCCCAAACGTTCCCGTCACCTGCGGGACCTCAGCCTCGCCCTGACCAGATGGATAAACCGTTAAAAAAGAAAGGAATAAAAAAAATAAAAAGAAATGGATCTCCTCCCGGATCTTCCCTTCATCACCTTCACTCGATCTCTTCTCCTAACTCGCGTCCTTCTCTCGCTGTTTTCTATGCTCCCCCTTCTCACACACCTTCATTCCGCCCATGCTCACCCACGTGTCGCACAGCCTTTTACTCGTTCAGCAACGAAACCACCCACTAATCTCCGAATCTGACCCCGTCATCAGATTCCCCCACATCGAAAGCCCCAAACAGCATGTCTCCTCGACCAAACTGCCACAGTAACTGTCTGCCAACTTTCTCTCTCTCCCCTCTTCATTCTTTCCAACCTCCCTCCCGATGCTCTCTTTTCCACTAACTTCTCCCACACTACTCACAGAAATTCTAACACAACCATCGAGCTTGTCAGGGTCAAAACCCCCTGTGTTGACCTTTAGTTCGGCCGATTCTGTTAAGAATCAGGTTAGTTATACCATTTCTGCTCTGCCATCCTTACTACTACTCTCTCTCTCTTTCTCTCTCTCTCTCTCTCTCTCTCTCTCTCTCTCTCTCTCTCTCTCTCTCTCTCTCTCTCTCTCTCTCTCGACCTCGACCTCGTCTTCTGCTCTCTGACTTTCTTCCCCTTCCTCCCCCGACACTTCGCTTCTTGGATACTCCGCGCGCGTCCCTCCTCAACGCGTAGTCCGACAGTCGTCCGGCCTCCAAATCAAATGGCTAGCTCCCGCTGTCAGATCCTGCCACCTTAACAACCTCTGCGTGCAGTGAAAGGCACGGCTAGCTTTTCAGGTGGAATGTACGCCTCCTTTTTGGCATTATATTCATCCATTTTTATTTTTATTTTTCATTTTATTTTTTTGAACTGGACATGCTCCAATCTATTCGTGGGGAGCAACACGTGCTGGGAACCGGGCCCAGCGTCCCATTCAAAAACATATTGAAGAAATTTTGCAGAAACCTTTAAGATACCAGGGCCATTCCCTGGCTTCGGCTAAAGATGAAAACTATGCAACCTACACACTGAAAGCCATCTRTAAGCACKACAAGACTCAAAAGCATGGAACAGATCCTAGATCTCTGATGCCAATTAGGATATAACTCTTGTARTAGCCTACCGCTGAGGTCCTGCGAATAGGTGAAACCTACTCAATCCACCTACAACCACCGCCAGTATGGCTAAAATCAGCACGAACCGGAGCTCTTCCGGACCTCATCCATTTTGAAAAGTAGTGACGAACAAAGGGAAGAAAAATAAATCCAGATGAAAAAAGAAACTCAAGCCAAGTAAGGAAATCAAATCAGATAAGATTTCGACGTGGTATAACTCTATGAAAACACGCCTGTACTACCACTCTCTCAGAATGTACCTGCCTGCAATCACGTCCAAAGCTTGATTCTGCGTACTTACCGGCTTCAGCCATCCGATCTGAATAACTCTATGAAAACAGGCCTGTACTACCACTCTCTCAGAATGTACCTGCCTGCAATCACGTCCAAAGCTTGATTCTGCATACTTACCGGCTTCAGCCACCCGATCTGAACATCTCACGGCTGCTCTGCAACCACGTAGGCAGGTGCCATGCCAATCTTCTCTATATCGTTCCAATTTTAACGGATGTCCCGAAGGACCAAGTCCCAAGCGATGGCCTGGGGATATCATCGGCAGACTGGCCGAGCCCAGGTAAGTCTGAATATTGTGCTCATCTGATTGCATCCGGATTCGAGCTCAGGTCTGTATTTCAACAGTTCAAGGGTGTACCAAGTGAGCTAGGGCCAATTGGTTCTACAGCCAGTCCGGGGACTGGCACCGGGCATGGCCCCAAAAAAATAGGAAAAGGCAAAAAAAAGAAAAAGAAAAATATAAAAGATAAAATTTTATAAAAATGAAAAGGGAAAACGTTGGTCCCCCTTTTAATCCTGGCCGTCGGGCCCGTGCTTGGGACTGGCAGCAAAAACAAGGGGGATAGTCCCGCGGGACCCTCAACCCCTTGGTCGCTCCAATCGCGCTCCATCGCTCTATCGCCACCCGCTGGCCCCGATCTCCCAACCTGTAGCCCGAAAGTCCAATGCCTCAACCAATAGAGCTAAGCTCAGGTTCATATCTCCAAGGCGCAAAATCCCATATACCTTTGTCGGGTCAGGGCCTACCAAACTTTCCCGAGGCTATACCTTGGCCAACCCAAGCCCACCGGTTAGTCCCATGGCCGCTGAACTTCGACCCTGTACATACGAGGCCCGAAAGCCACGCCTTGGCTATGGGGCATACTATCCATCACCCCCACGTCCAATTTCTCCTGAGCGCACGCGGTTTGCCGTACACACGCTAAGATCCTACCCACTAAACCTTTGTGCATCTTCGTGCGTGGGATTTTTCCTGATCCGGCCTTGTCCGACTCACGCCAAGGTTGTTTCATGGCCATGCGACACTCCGTCAACTACAAGCGAAGCCGCCACTCCCGGTCCGACATAAGTAAAACTTCCAAAAGGTCGCACCCTTGGGGCTCGACCAAATCACAAGAGCAAGACAAGATTCAAAAAACATTAATGAACCGAAACAAAGATCTCACGGACGCGGCATCTCCACACTAATGCGACCGCTGTGCCCTCTAGTTCAGTACATACTATCACAACCTGTAATGGCATGACGGGCATGGCAACCTCAAACATCCGGAAGCATCATGTGTCGCCGCATCCTTCTGGGCATCAAGGTCGCGACGTGGGCGACCTGCAAAAACACGGTCAGATACCCTTGTAAGGGTATTTGGTCTGACAACGGTTGGGCCCCTTGCCAGAAACTGTCTTTTTAAAGGCATTATACTTCTCTCCTTCGTTCATATTAGACTCGAGGGCTGATGTCGAACAGCCCACATCGGAGTTCGACCCTAGATCATCATCTAGAGGCAGATCATCCGCATAAGACTGGTCCTCAGCCTCCAGATGTTTATGCAGGGCAAGCTGGTTGCTGCTTCCAGACCGCTTGCATCTGAAGGACTTACCTGCAGCAGGTGTCTTCGCATGCCTGGCAATGTTTTTGGCCTCTAGGTTAACTATACCCGTTCAGAGCTCACACCAAGTCGAATGCTCCTTGAGTCCTAGCCGGGAGATACATCCTTCAGGGGCCACTCCCATAACTACATCCATGCAAGGCACATCAGTCCATCCTACATCTGGATTAGTGAATAAACTAGTCAAGTGCTGCTCCAGAGCCTGCATGGAAGTTCTCCACTTTTGACCCTTGAGAGCCTCAAGCTTCAGTCCTGCTTTGAGCGCAGCGTGCTTATCTTGGTATTGCGCGATGAGGAGGTCCTCAAGAGTGCGAACAGGAGTCACCTTCCTCCACTCACTAAGGTCAATTCTTTGATAACCTGCACTGACTCCGGGACAGTCAGAAGGGCCACTTGGGCAGCAATACTTGTTGCTCTAGTTGCTGCCTCTACCTCCCTCTCTCTGTGCAATGCATCATCATAGAGTTTCTGAAAGAACGGTTTCTCTTTTCCGTCCGCTGCGTCCAGCATGGCCTGCCATTGTGCAGAGATGTTTGCCATGCTGGAGGATGGGGCGTCAGTAGATCTCTCAAGAGGAGTCCGCTCTTCGCTTGCATTTGGACGAACAGATGTTTGCCATGCCGGGGGATGGGGCGTCAGTAGATCTCTTAAGAGGAGTCCGCTCTTCCCTTGCGTTTGGACGAACACTCCTCTTTACCCTTCCTCACACTCTAAAAAGGAGTACCTTCTCTTTCTGTGTGCCTTTTGTGCACGCATCTCAAGACTGGACATAGATAGTTCAGATTAGAGGCGGTGGGGCGGGGGGGGGGGAGGAGGGGGAGAGGGATTCACAAGAGGGAAGANGGAGGGGGAGAGGGATTCACAAGAGGGAAGATAGAACTCCTACCCGGAGCGGCAATTCATTTGGACTAGAGAATGGCATCCTTGCAGCAGGATAGATACAAAAAATAAAAAACAATTCAGAGAGAGGTCTGACTTATCGAATGGGTCCAGTAAGATCAGACGCGAGATCCCCTCTTGACTAACCCAACATGGATCATGCATCGCAAATAAATCAGACAAAAGAAAGAACTAACTGTAGCAATGGAGATCTTGAGGGGTGCAGACGGTCGCCGAGCTAGATGCAGGGCAGTGTGTTAGAATGTGCGGTAAGACCCAGTCAAGATCCACTCAAAAGGGAATGTCCCTACTAGCCGTGTCCCCCCCAATTCCAGCGCAGCAGATAAATTCAACTGACAGTAACAGGTTTGGGGCCAAAGGGTCCTGTCCCGTTGGGCCTGGTCCCACGGAGTTCCAAAGGGTCCCAAGTAGGTCGTGGACCAGGACCAACCAGAAGGGTGTCCCAAGATTGTCGCAAATTGCCTCTACCATACCGACAAAGAAAAGCGAACTTCAGCAAGAACCAACTAACTACAGCCATTCAGAAATGAAAAGACAATGCACTATAGAAAGATATGCCGTTTAGAACAAGATATGTCATCCATTCATCCATCAGGTGAGAAAGCAATCCACACGCTCACACACACAACCAAGACTGCCGAGAAGAGGAAAAGAGCCCATCTCAATCCCCAACAGGCCGTGAAGCACCGAACAACCACCCGTGGGCAACCCAAGTCACACGGCACTTACCTGTGAGGCCCGGCCTCCAAAGATGACATAACGGCTCACCCCCCTCTCTCATGGGGCCTCCTGAACCCTAGCTACCACTACACAAAGTGTCCTAGCATGACTAAGGACTACCTACACCAATATACAACGTCGGATCCCCCGTTGATGTTGAAGACCAAAGTAGCAACTTGCAGCTCTTCGATGCAGGTATGGCAGCTCCCAATCAAGTCTTCCCTCTTGAGAGGAAGCCCAAAAGTCACTCAATGTCTTATTCAGGTCCAGATTCCAGGTGCAAGTACCTCTCACCTTCTACTCCCTCTCACTCACTGCAATCAGCCTCCTTTGTGTCTCGCCACCCCAAGCATTCACTCAACCAACCTGGTCAGGTCCATGTCGACCCAACATGACCTAACGAGGTGGGGGCAGCT